AAACCCATCAGACTACGTACGACCAACGGGGCCCATACCAGTACTCCAACGAAAATCCTGGATATTTTCCATCAGCACCTCCGAACCTTGTACACTTCTCAAGATAATTTCACAGCTGACCAAGTAGACCGCTTCTTCGACGATCTAGCCCTCCCACACCTCACGACCTCCCAGATTGCCTCCTTTGAAGAACCTATCACGGAGCAGGAAGTCCAGGCGGCAATCGCTTCACTTCCACGGGGCAAACGTCCGGGAGTGGACGGCTTTACAGTAAATTACTACACCACCTTCAAGGACCTCTTAACTCCTCTTTTGACAGCCACGTTCAACTCACTCCGAAATGGGAAGTCCCTAGGGCCAGATTCGCTATCATCCCTGATTTGTATGATACCCAAACCTTCCTCTGACCATACTAATCCCTCAAATTACAGACCAATCTCTTTACTGAATGTGGACGTCAATCTACTAGCCAAAGTCCTAGCTAATAGACTGAATCTGATCATAGGTAGCCTGGTCTCCAATGACCAGGTAGGCTTCATACCTACCAGACAGGCTTGGGACAATGTCCGCAGAATCTCCCTCTTCTCCCATATCGCCAAGACTAAGAAGATACCCACCGTGCTACTCTCGCTAGATATTAAAAAGGCTTTTGATAGTGTTTCCTGGCCATACCTTTTCCACACATTGCGTCACTGGGGCTTTGGTGCTTCATTTCTGACGTGGGTGTCTGCCCTCTACAAAAACCCAACAGCACGTATTAAATACTCCGGCTTCTGCTCCCAACCCTTCCCGATCCTCAGGGGGACCAGGCAAGGATGCCCACTATCCCCGCTCCTCTTTGCCCTTGCACTAGAACTTGCCCAGAAGATCCGCAACTCTCCTGACATCTCCGGAATTGAACATGCTGGTCTCTCTCACAAAATATGCTTATTTGCGGATGACGCCTTACTCTTCGTCACCAAACCCGTAATAACTCTACCCAACCTCACCAAACTTCTATCAGACTTTGCCTCAATCTCTGGACTCTGTGTGAATGACTCTAAGTCCATGGCCCTAAATATTTCTTTACCCCCTATGCTTGTTGAGTCCCTTCCTAACACTTACCCTTACTCATGGTGTGCTGCCCACCTCCCCTACCTGGGAATTAAACTTGGACAATCTTACCAATCCCTGTATAGCTCCAACTATCCGGACATGCTGAAAAAATTGTTAAATATGCTACAGAGGTGGTCCCACTATCGTCTATCCTGGCTGGGCAGAATAGCGGCGGTCAAAATGACCCTCCTACCCAAAATCTCAAAAAAATTTCGAGATGACCCGCACAGTCCTAGACTTATCTCCCTTCTATATTCCATCCTTATCACACCACCCGACGCCCCCCCTCCCTCCTATGTGACCCAATGGGAAAGAGACCTAGGACCCTCTCCCACGGATGACTCTTGGCACTACTCCTGGGCCAACACTAAAAGCAGTTCCCTTTGTGCAAGCATGTTGGAGATTAACTACAAAGTACTCATGCGCTGGTACTTAGTGCCTGCAAGAGTGGCTGTCTATAATACTAATTGCTCTTCTGCCTGTTTTCGAGGATGCTCCGATCGAGGTACATTTTTCCACATATGGTGGGGCTGCCCACGTGTCTCTGATTTTTGGGACGAAATCTTCCTACTGATCTCTTCCCTGTTCTCGGAAACATTAACTAAGGATCCCTATTTTGCTCTCCTTAATTGTAGACCAGAAAGCCTTTCCCGCAAACAATTCAACCTGGCCATGCACATATGCACCTCGACTAAGAGGGAAATAGCAAAAAACTGGCTGACCACATCATTGAGCGGCAACAGTGTCATAAACCACATCAACTGGATTATGGCGCATGAAAAAAGGACCGCACAACTTAGTGACAGAATGGCAAAATTTGAAACCATTTGGTCCCCGTGGATAGAGTATTCTGCTGCATCAAACATCCCCCGCCGCCTTTATACGCTGTAATAGCTGTCCATTATCCTCACCCATGGAGACAACACCATCTACATCGGTACATGGTTTGACTATGCAACTATTCCATCACACTCTGAAATCCGACTTCCCATCCTCCCCCTTGTGCCCCCTCTTTCTCTGTGCGTCTCCCCCATACTGTGTCGTGTTGTCTGTCTTGTGTGGTGCCACAAAACCCTTGCTTTTTTTAATTACTGTATATTTCTAATTTATATTTATTTATTATTATTTATTATTAGTGTTGCTATCCTCGTTACCCAGTGCCTAGGTTCTGCCTTTCCTAGTACTCTAGATCTAATGGTCTGCACTTATTTCATCTTCTGTGCCCGTGTGGCTTGGTATACTGAGCTTAGGGTAACGGGAGGACGCTAGTTTGTGTCCTCCCGTTACCCTTTGGAGAACTATGGGGAAAAACACTGACCCCATAGTTCTCCTTTAAGAGCACGTAGATAGTACCTGGGCAGTGCGATCGGGATGGTTTGCAATGTGTATAATATCCGAGGTAATATTGTCATTTTAATTACATTTATCCGTCCCGTCAGAGAGATACCTGGGCGATGGTTAAACCACTTATTAAGATCCCTTCTAATGTTATTTAGCAGGGTCATGTAGTTCACAGTAAATAATTCCCTGGTCTTGGGGGTGAGGAAGTGCCAAGATATTGCATTTTCTGGTTTTGCCAACTAAAGGGCATCGAATCTTTCAAAGCTATAACGATATGTGCTGGAGTAGAGATATTTAAAATTTCTGACTTTGAGAGATTAATTTTAAAGTTCGTTATTTGGCTATATATTTCCAGTTCTTGTAGTACTGACGGGAGTGATATCTGCGGTTGTTGAATAAAAAACAGAATGTCATCCGCGTAGGCGGCTAACTTATGTTCTGTAGTGCCTACTGTAATCCCCGAAATGTTATTATTACCTCTTATATTAATAAGGAGGGGCTCCAATGACAGGGCAAACAGTAATGGAGATAGTGGGCATCCTTGTCGTGTTCCATTATATAGGGAGAATTTAGCTGAGAGGACCCCGTTAATCTTAATCTGGGCGGTGGGGTTGTTATACAAGGCCATTATTCCCGTCAATAATCTGGGCCCCAGGCCCATGGCTTGTAGAGTGATCCGGAGATAGTCCCAGTCAACTCTGTCAAATGCCTTTTCCGCATCTGTAGATAGAAGCAGAGTGTGGTTCGATGATAAAGAGGCCTGATGAATTAGGCTAATTGCTCTCTGGGTGCTATCTCTAGCTTCTCTGCCTGGAATAAAGCCAGTCTGATCTGGTGATATTAGTTGGGAGGTCAGGCAATTAAGTCTAGTGGCCAGGATTTTTGCAAAAATCTTGATATCTGTGTTTAGTAATGATATCGGCCTATAGCTGCCGCATACGGTTGCGTCTTTACCTACTTTGGGGAACACAGATATATGTGCGTGTAAGGTATCTCGTATTGGTGGTGTGCCCGTCAGGAGGGAGTTGAAGTACTTACATAAGTGTGGCAATAAATAGTTCTGGAATTTTTTATAATATTGTAGTGTGAATCCGTCAGGGTCAGGACTTTTCCCTTTGGCCATGGCGGCAATCACTTGTTGTATCTCCTCTATATCTATCAGTTGCAGTGCGTGTAGCATGGTTTTAAAGCGTACATGTGTATGGTGGGATAAGTGTGTTTCCTGCAGGAACACTATATCACAGCGTTGGCTCCGTAACTCCTCACGGGGGTGTTCGGCTCATCACTAGTTGTAAGTTATTATATTGTAGTTAGCCATCGGCATATAAGGAATCGGTACAGTTTTTGCCACTTACTTCTATACCGGTCGACCCCCTGGGGAAAACTGTAGGGAAAAAAGAGGTGGGCGGGGTGGGGAAAAAGAGAAAGGAGAAAAAGAGAAAGAGAAGAAAAGAGAAAAAAAAACAAAAACAAAAGGAAAGGACATACATTTAAAATACCATAAGATAGGGAGACGTATCTGATAAGGATTACGTCCTTGTATCTACTCCCTAAACAAAACCCTCGTTTTGACCACTGACCACCGTCAACACAGACCCCATGCCTTTGGTGGTCTATTTCTGAGGCCCTCCGCTATGGGCCCTATGATGGGTTTTACTTAATATCTGACGTCTATACACGCCATCCCATCTCTATATTTGGTGATACTTACTGACACCAAGCTAGATCATCTGAATGGCCAAGCGCTAGATCTCGTAAGCAGAGTGTCTTACTCAACGTTTATGCACTTGCACAATTTGTTTCGAAGCTAAATTTGATGTAATTCCTCCGATTTTTCATTTGATACCTACACTCGCTTCTCTTCGCCTGTGTATTTACAGAGAATATAGATGCAACACCTGTAATATTATTGCTTAAGTACACCTTCACTGATTCCCCTATGACAGTGTTTTATTACTCATGCACCTTGTATTGTATTGTAATGTACTGTGATGTACCCCTTGACGTTTTAAAACAATAAAAAAAAACTATGGTTAAAAAAAAAAAAGTACGGCATGCAGTACTTTTTAAGCGCACCACAGTGAAACGCGGTGCAACTGCATCGTACCACGGTGAGCCCATACAGCTTAATAAAATGTCACCTGTGACATTTCAACAACGTTCTAACTAACAAAAAAAGTGTGATGCGGCTCAATCGAGTGCATCGGCTCTGTCTGGGCACACCACCAGCAGCCGTGCGGTTGAGCAAGGCTACGGGTGTGAACAAGTCCTTAAAGTGAGTTGAATGTATATATGTTCAAGGCCATCATGCCAGAAAATATGCTGTATCAATGCATCAAGTTTTCCAACAGGTAAAGAGTAGCGAACAGATCAGTAAAATTGTAGGTTATCAGAAAAGACATCTTGGAGTAAACAAAGTCCAATTAATAAATAAAATTTTTTAAAATGTATTCATATATTAT